CTTGTTTTGTCCAAAGGTGGTGGCGTACTTTTAGCAGTCAGTAATCGGTATAACTCTACGAAGTTGGATCTTTCGTCCATTACAAGCTTGGTTCCTATTGTAGATATTGTAGGTGTTAAAATCACCGGTAAATTTAGTCAAAAATTACTAATCTTTGTTTTATATATACCACCATGAATTGCTCTAGCAGAATTTGAGTTATTTTTTGAAACATTCATAAATCTAGATTTTATACAGAATGAAAAATTAATAATTCTGGGCGACTTTAATACGCCTGATTTTAGCCTTAATCTTAAAACTAATTCAAACTTAGTATTAAATAACTGTAAAGAATTCTATAATATTTCACAGCACAATAATGTAAGTAATAGTATGGGGTCGGCTTCTAGACTTGGTTTTTTCTAACTTGCAGTGTAGTGTCACAAAATCTGAAGATCCGGTTGCAAAAGAAGATCCTCTTCATCCAGCGCTTATTGTTGAATTCTTCTTAACTGACAAAATGTTTAAAGAATTTTGTATGAACTCACAGTCTAAATCTTTCAACTTCAAAAAAGTATGATCTCCTCTCGAAAATTGATTGGTCTTTTCTTGATGATGTATCTGATCTCAATACTGCTTGCGAATTACTTTATAAAACGATTTATGAAATTTTTGAGTGTACTATCCCCAAATATCATTTCAAAAGTTATCATCATAAATATTATCCTCCTTGGTTTAACACTGAAATCCTAAATTGTATTCGTAATAAATCTTTAGCGCATCTCAAGTACCTACATAAAGCATAAATCTACACATTATTACAATATTTTTAAATACCATCGATCTCAACTAAAAATAATGATTAAGACTGCATACAAAAATTATATATCAAATATCGAGGATAAACTGCATATAGATTCAAAAAAGTTTTGGGACTAGGTAGGTAAATGTGTACAAGAGTGCGAATATGTATAAGAGTACGCACTGATGATTTCTGCTTATTAGTGCCATCTGGGTAAGATGAAGTTATACCATTCAGAATTTAATGCTAAACCTGAGATAAAGGTGCAAAAGTAACCTGAATATAGTTTATAGTTTGGTCGTACTGACGATTTTATGTTAACACGTTGTGTGGATGTAATTTTTACCGCTCATAGTTTTAGTTTTTTGTAAGGTACGTACCAGTTCTTTTATTTTACAGTAATAATTTTCATTAGTTGTAACTTTTAAGGTGTCGTTATACACTAACAGTTTTACACTTTCTGTCAATCAAAAGCTTTTAACTTTGAAAACATTAGGTTATGTACAAATGTACAAGAGTGCGCAGCGAGGTATTGTATAAGAGTGCGCATTGCTTGCAATACGTAGTCTAATAGTCTTGGAGATACATATCATACGATAATGAATGATTTAACTCTACTACTTTGTACTGCTTCTCAAGTTGTGTGGTGGTGGTTATAGTGATTTTTTTTTTATTTTTACTTCCAGAGCGTGTTGTAATCGAGTCCGTCGACCGACTCTCTATTTTTACGTTTTCTCGCCTTTTCAAGACCCCTAGAGTACGAAGAAATAGGTCTCCCGTTTTATATGTAGTCTGTAGTCACTTATTCCCATTTATTTTCACCTTAGAAACAAATATTTTTTCATAAAATGTAATGCGTACTCATAAACGTTCAAATGCGCACTCTTGTGCAATGAACTGTCTAAGAGTGCGGATTTACACATCTTGACAAAAATTGAAATTACTCTTAAAATATAGTGGTGTTGGGACGTACAATTAAATATATCTGATCTCTAAACATGTATATAACGAACCTATATCATAAAATTTGTCTATCCAAAAAAATTAAAAAGTTGTTGACAGTTTTCCACTAAGTGCGTACTCTTGTACACATTTACCCTATATTAACAACAAAAAATAATAATAATACACACATAATAATGAAGAACTCAACTCTCCGAATACAATTGTTGAAGGTTTCGCAAATTATTTTAATGGAGTCTACAAAAATTCTAATTCCAACACAACTGCCAACAACTATGAAATCAATCCATCGCTACTAGTGAATATCAATAATATTTCACAAAAAGAAATTTTATCTGCTTTAAAAAGTTGTAAAAATTCGCTTACAATGGGACCTGATGGCATTCCAAGTTTTCTGTTACTGAGCGCATATTTTTGTAGATCCTTGCTTCCGGTTATTTCATAAAATATTAAATTTTTCCACGTTCCCAAATATCTGGAAAAGAGCAACTATCTGTCCAGTATACAAAAAAGGAGATGTAGCAGAAATAAAGAATTATAGACCTATCTTCTTTGCAATTTTTCCAAAGTTTTTGAATCTATAATTTATAAACATATCTATTCCTCAATTAAAATGTTTTTGTCGCCTCACCAACATGGATTTATGGAGAAACGTTCCACAATTTCAAACTTAGCCTGCTTTACACAATTTACGTTTGACTTTCAGAAAGCGTTTGATCAAATTGATCACTTTATACTACTCGACAAATTAAAAAGATTTGGTTTCTCAGAAGGTCTTTTAAAACTTTTTGAATCATACTTATTTAATCCTGAACAATATGTTAAATATCGCAATTACAAATCGAATATTATTAAGCCCGCCTCTGGTGTTCCGCAAGGCTCTAACCTCGGCCCCCTGCTTTTCCTACTTTTTATAGATGATCTTGGAGACGTTGTTTCATGTCAGAAATTATTTTTTGCAGACGACCTTAAATTGTTTTTAAAAATTACCTCAACATTGGACTGCCAACAATTACAACAAAATATATGCTCAGTATGCGACTGGGCTTCCAAAAATAGATTGTCGTTAAACAAAGATAAATGCTTTGCTATGACCTACTCTAGAAAAAAGGAGAACATCATTTTTCCCTATCGAATTGAAAACAGTTTAATAAATAGGACTGAAAGGATTAAAGATCTAGGTATACTCTTTGATAGTAAACTTCAGTTTATAGAGCACATTCATGAGATGGTATCCAAAAGTTTTAGAACGTAGGGATTTATCTACAGAAATTGCCGAGATTTTACTTATACACGAACATTGTGTTCTATATTCTTTTCTCTGGTGCGATCACAACTTGAATACGGAGCTTTAATTTGGTTTCCAATGTATCAGATTCACATTCAACATATTGAACACGTCCAACGTGTTTTTTTTTAATTTCTATGTTTTCTACTTGATGGTACTTACCCAGCAAGAGGCTACGACCATTCTGCTTTACTCTCAAGATTTGACTTTTTACCTCTCCACTTAAGGAGAATTATAATAATAATAAAATTTTTAATACATCTTATAAATAATAAAATAGACTGTCCGTTACTTTTAGAACAACTCAATTTTTTAATTCCAAGGATTAATACTAGACAAATTAACATATTCTATTTTGAATCAAGCAGAACCAACGTATTAGTAAGATCGCCTATTGCATTAATGTGCGAATTATTCAATGATGTTGCCGCCTATTGTGACATTTGTAGTGACTGTATTAAGTTCATTACTAATTGTATTAAAAACCATTTCTGTTAAATAGGTTTATTTTTAGTTTTTTATTTTTGTTTTCTCTTTTTTAGGGTTTTTTGGTTTGTAATCAATATTATAATTATTTTGTTACCTTTATGTATTCACTCTCACTCTATTAATCAATTATTTGTAAATATTTCCTGTAACTGGGTGTAAATACCGTAGGAAATAAAGATTTATTATTATTATTATTATTATTATTATTATTATTATTATAAGCCGTCTTTGTGGAGGTCTACATTTGGCGTACCGTGGAACCTGCCCTTTAGATGCAAATAAGTATGTTTTTTTTGTGCATAGGACTGTAGAGATTTATTTAAGCAGGACCAATACTCAAATATTAAAATGAAACATAGAGGTTTTTATTTGAAAGTAAAATAAATAAATAGACACCTGTGGACTATTTTTTGTTAGTTCGTTTCGCCCCATATGACGTAACTTTTTGTCATAAGATGTAAGGAAGTGCATAAACTAAGAAACACAAACTTGCATCACTTGTGGAACTATAAATAGTTATACCACTCAATAAACGTATTCTTTTTGTGTTGGTTAATCGCACTGTTTGTAGCAATAAAGCTGTTGTTTGTGCTTATTACCGTAACATAATGTTCTGAAGAAATACGAATACTCAAAAGACGAATTATTTATACCTCATTTACATTTTATTGTTTACGAGCGTGCACGCTGAAAAAATGCCCAGACAAATCAACTTTCAGGAAGTCTGTAGTGTTTGAACTGAAAATTTAAACACTCGTCATGTCGCTAATTAAAGACGCCCGAAAATGATTATAGTTCTTGGTAAGTAGTTGATGATGGTTCTGACACGTGCAACATTCTTTCTGATGTCGAAATCAGTTGCGAACGTCGTTCTTCATTACTCGAATGCATTTTAAACAGTCGCTTTAGTAATAAAAAGCGAAAAAACACTGCATTGTTTACGGTATTCGGTGCAACAAAGCGTCTACACAGTCGTGATCAATAGCCGACAATGCGATAAATTTTTGATTGCTTTTTTAGCGCTGAAATAATCGTTGTCTTCATAAAAATATCGGCCGTTAGACGGAATCCCGCAACATTTTATTGCGTTTCCTTCCACAAAAGAAACCGTAATCGTCGCTTGCATTTTTGCCGTTCGGTGCAACCGTATCCCAGAGCTCGTCTTCGGAATGCAGTTAAAAGACTCGTGAATAGCCTCACTCATTCTAGTTACACCCCCTCAAGTGTTCGTCCAACCGCGATGTAGCAGTCAAGGTTACAATTTCTCGTCGGTGGTAACGTTCACCGCCGCCAGAGGCTGCCCAGTCTGGGTGTTGGATATACATCGCGCATTCGAGCGCGCCGAAGGCGCGGTTATCTGCGTTCGCCCCGCCCCCGGGCCAACAAACTCTAAGCAAATTTCTAAGCCCCTAACTCAGTTGACGTCACACTCCGGCACCGAGTGTGTTCGTGCCGGCGCTCGTTCGTCCTCGCCCGCATTCTCATAGTGCAGCAAGAACACTCGGTGTTTAGTTGGAGCGTGAGCCCAAGTGAGTAGTGTACGCGTCCGTGTGGTTTTTTGCGCGCAGTAGTGCCAGAATCGGTGTGATGTTGTGCGTGCGGGCCGGCGCGGCCATGGGGGCGCCCCGGTGATCCGCCCCCGCAGAGGGTGCCATGAGCGGCGGCGCTCTGCCCCCCGTCCCGGCCCTCATCCCCATCGCGCTGCTCAAGGGCCCCCAGCGCCCCCACGAGGTTATGGGCGAGCAGCGCCCGCGGCGGCCGGGGCGGCAAGCTTGCGAGGCGATCGATAGCGCGCAGTCACGTGGGCCCAGCGCCGCCCCACAGCCGCCGCCGCAGTCCCGGAAGGCTCGGTCCGAGCGCCACCGCAAGTCAGACCGCCGACGCAAGCGAGCCCGGTCGCGCAGCAAGCACAGCCCCAGGTCGCCGCCGCCGTCGCCGCCGCCGCGAGTGAACCCCATCTTCGTGTGGGTGCGCCAGGAAGACACGCGCATCGTGGACGTGAAATGCGAGGACTACGACAAGCGGAACCGCATCCTCCTGACGAAGACGGCGCAGGGTTGGCGCGCCATCCCGCGCACGGAGACGCTGCCGCTGCGGGAGGCGGCGGATAGCCGCCGCCACCACCGCCGCCGCAAGAGCAAGGTGCGGCAGCGCTCGGCCGCCGTGCAGGTGGACGTGGACGGACACCGGCCGCCGACGCCGACGTGGGCGACGCCGGTCAACGTCGAGTCGTTGCTGCCGTCCCACAAGATCCACGTCCCGCAGAAGTGCCCGAGCCCGGTCACTGAACACAACGTAAACAGTGTCGTGGACGGGAGTGCGCAGACTCTGCCGGAAAAGTGCAGTGCTGCGAAAATATGTGACGTCAGCCCCTTGGATAACCTCCTCGCGGTCGCCGAGTTCGAGTTCAACCAGCACATGCAGTCGGGGGAGTGGGACAAGGCGCAGGATGGGGACCACGAGACCGACGACGAGAAGGCCTTCATCAACAACATGGAGCAGCTGAGCAGCTTGATCGAGTCGTGTTCGAAAGAGGAAAGCGACGACCCGAGGCGCAAGCAGCAGGCGAAGAGCGAAGACTGCGATTACACGGAAGACGACGACAATAACCTGGCCATGGACGACATCCTCACGAGGCTGGAGCAGTCGCTGCGCAGCCCGGAGTGCCCCGAAATCGCGCAGGTGCTCAACTACGAGACCAAGCTCGACGAAGACATCAAGTGCTTCCCGAGCGACATCAATGACATCAACGACATCAACGACAACAACTACAAGTCCGTACCTGACGACGAGATCGAGAAGTTCTTCGAGGAGGCGAAAAGCGCTTCCGACGCCGAGGCCAACCCCAAGCCGGAGTCATCCACCCCCGGCGAGGACGAGCCCACCGATCTGTCGCTGAAGCCGAAATTCGACGACGACAACCAGCCGACCGATTTGACCGTCCCGAAGAGCGCCTCCTCGCCGGCGAGATCGGCGACGCCCCGGCCGCCCTCTCAGAACTCCGAGGCCATCCAGTCGCCCCAACCGAGCGGGATCCCGGCGGTTCCCCCTTCGCCCGACATAGTCTCCACCAGTGCCAACTGCAAGAACAAATCAGTATTCCTCGAGTCCCTACTAAGCACGGCCTCGCAGAAAATCGCGCTCAACTCGGAGGTGACCATCATCAAACAGAAGGAGCCGCTCGACCTAGGGAAGTGTCGAAAGTCGGCCAGCCCTACGGTGACGTGCTCCGAAGAAGTGAAGAACGCCTCCGAGCCGGAGCCACCGAGCAAAAAGTTCAAGCCCGACGACATCACGCTGAAGAACCTGCTGGATATCGAGCTGGCGAAAGCCGAGAGCAGCAAAACCCAGGCGAAGGCGACCGCCCCCGAAACCCCCAGATTACTCGAGCTGCTAAAGACTGATTCGGGGCCCGATCCCCTCGCGCAGTTAAGGCAAATTCTCTCCGATACGAATCTAAATGTTCCTGATCCCATGCTCGTACCGAAGGAGAGATTGAGCCAGATTATCTCGCAGCCGGGCCGCGAGATCCCCAGGTTGTTAAAACAAAGACCGGAACTAAGATTACCGGAAGCCTTGGCCTTTCCACATCTCCTCCAAGATCCGGATATTCTCGTAATCACCCTCCAACAGCTCGAAACCATAATACTCAAACAGAACCAGTCGCTGAACCTCAAAGACATCAAAACCACTCTAGAGGGAAAGCTGGCGGAGAAGATCCCTCCGAAGCAGCCCGAGAAAACCCCGGAAACACCGAAAGAGAACCCCGGGAAGAAAAAGGGCGAGGAGGGGTCGAGTAAATCCGCGTCGCAGAAGGGCGGCTTCAACGAACTAGCGAACGATATTGACGCCGCCACCACCGCCGCCTTCAACCAGATGATCTGGCTGCCGTACCTCAACCAGCTCGAAGCCATGTCGTTCGGCAACAACGCTGACATGATGAAGATGCTGTCGAACACGCTGCCGATGTACCCCGGGCAGGTCCCGGAGCTGAACCACCTCATGGGGGGCGGGCGGTTCCCGCCCCCGGTGAACTTCCCGGTGCAGCAGCCCCCGATGAACTACAACGCCCTCGAGATGTCCATGTGGCAGGAAGCCATGCTGCAAGCCAACATGCTGCGGCCTAAGCACCCCTTCGAGGGTCTCAACCCCAAGAACACGTTCAGAGACTACCTGGACAAGCTGAACTTCGCTGCATCAGCGAAACCTTCCGGCTTAAACAACCACAAGATGCCCCCGGCGATGGTGAACAAGCCCAACCACCCCAGCAACTACTACCCCTCAGGAACCAACGGCCACGGCTCGTTCCAGAACTCCTTCTTGAACCTGCCGAACTCGTACCAGGGCGGCAAGCAGATGATGCCGCCGTTCAGCCCGCTGTACAACCAGAAGAACCTCCTCCAGAAGACGCCGTCGCACCCGTATTTACCGAAACAGAAGTTCGACCCCAAGGCCGGCTACCCCTTTTACCACCAGAGGGAGGAGAAGCGGCACGAGCACAAACAGAAGGCGGCGTGCAAGTCGTTCGCCGGCGCCTCGCACCACAAGGCCGCCTCCAGCGAGCCAAAGGAGAAGGCGGCGACGAACGCAGACTTTTCCAAGCACCACACGCAGCCGATTGATCTTTCTGGTTCAACGGCACCGGCAGCCAAGCTGAAGGTTAAACAACACCTCATCGATCCGGTGAACGCGTCCAAGTTATTAAAGCACGATGACGTTCCCGAAGTCGGCAGCACGACCGCCAGCGTCGAGGAAATGCAAGACGCACACAAGCATCTCTGGCATCCGCTGTTCGGAAAGTAAGTGCTCTTGATTGGCTGGCTTAAAACCCGGAAAAGTCCGGGAGCTAAAATTATGAAAGTTCGAAAAATCTTCGGGTTTCTTGTTCCAAATAAAGACCAACGACTCGTAAATACCGGATGTCCTAGAATATTTTTCGAACAGAAATATTTCGTTATCTTGAAAGTCGGCATGGCGGTATTTAATTTTTTATGTTTTTTAAAATTTATCTGCGACCATTTTTTTCCCGTTTTTTGTATAGTTGAATATGCCAGATAATGAAACCTTTTACACCTTCATTCTTGAACATTTCAATTTAGCTACTTTAATGTAAAATTTTCCCTAATCAGAAACAGTACAGTAAATTAAACGGCGCCGTTCTTGTTTTATTTTTATGGTCAGAATTATATATTTATAAAGTATGCTATTATAAATGGAACTTTATGACACAGTATAAATATTTAAGTGTGGAGTTATCTAAGTCAAATATTGACCTTGTTTTTTTGAACAAAGCTACTAAAAAAGTATTCACAGTTAAAAATACGTTTATAATTTTAAATTCCCGGTTTATATAGATAGTTAAATTTGATTAATATACCGGGTGTCCCAGATTTTTTAAGGAAAATATGTATATCTTTGGTACATATATGAGCCCGAATTGATTTAAAAATGAGTTGGGAAATTGTATGCAATATCTTAGACTATTAACAGCTACCTCACAAGCAGTTAATCTAAGCCTAGAGGAGGCCATGAATGAATTATTCATTTAGCATGCTTGGTATGATTCCAAATGTATGTGTTGCGTAAGATTAACAACTTAATCTAACAACTGATGTCATTTCCGAAATTAACTGTCAGAGTAATAGTGACATGTAATTTCTATAACCATAGTTAATTTATTGCATGGCTGCCCATGAACCCATATTTAATTAACTAAACGCGAAAACTAACAACAATAACTACACTATTATTTCTGACATCTCTAAATTTGAAAATCTCAGAGAATTTTGATTTTTCTTAAGAATACGTTGAGCTAAAATTTTGAAAATATTTTTTTACGTATTGCGTTCTTTCACAAAATATGAAAATATATGGGGTGTTTCATTTAAAAAACTTTGGCACAACAACAATAACTTGAATAAAATATCTATTAAATGTCTAGAACGGAAAGTAGTACTTTATCGCTTGAGGAAGTGTTTTACAAGCGCTCAAGGTGCACACATGATTTTTTCTATGACTATAGAATTACATGAACAATTCACTGACGGTGACTGCCCTGATGGTGGGAGCGTTTTGGCGAAACGGGTTGACTTCGTGGCAGCTGTTTGGTTTAAAAATTCAGCCAACACCTCGCCCCATTTTGCGCTTTTTGCATCGCATTGATTCGTTTGGCTCTCTTTTTCCGCCTCCGAGCATTTCCCGTTTACTCTATTTTTCATGCATCGCCTGCTCGACAATCCTGCGGTGGGTGTTCGTGGGCATTTTTCCCTGACGGGCAAAAAAGGAAACCCAATTACCGCCCGTTAATTGATCGCGTTAATTATGGTTTTGCATTCATTGAGCACGTTTTATTAAGTTTAGATCTATACTCGGTTTCTTCGGTCGCTATAAATCCAACGGCGAAATGTGTTATGGTCTGAGTATGTGTCGTAATATTCCAGGTATTTAAAGTGTGTTTATGTTGAAAATGCATCGTAATCATATTAATAGCTTTCGTGCTTATCACGATTATTACATTATTCAAATTTATGTGGTAAATACACTCACCATTACAAATTTGCATTTCTATTGTGATTTTATCGCGAAAAGTAAAACAAAACGTGAAGAGTGTTGAAATGGAAGGTTTCGACGATTAAATACAATTGCATGCTGGAAATGGGTTTATGTTAAACGCTCTTCACTTTGAAGTTCTTCTAAGCTGACGGGAGAATTATTGGGTTCGTGGCGTGCTTTCGCACACAAACAGTAGCGCGAATTAGCGGTTTTTTGCTCGGAAGAGGATTTTTGGGGTTTTATTATATTCATTTTATTATTTTACATAATCTTCGTTAAAATTGTATACAACTTTCATGCATTTGCCTGCACCCAAAATGAAAAAGCGTTTGCCCTAGAATCGGCTCTTATAATTATGTGTACACCGAAAATAGCGTTGTGTTGGTAAACACGATCGTTCACCTTCAGGCTCGGATTATTGTTATTCCACATAATTATTGTTATTACTACCAGTTGGAACAAGGAGCTGCCGTAAACTAAAGTTGTGACGCTAACAAGCAAAAAGTTCGCAGAAGCCCATAACGACAGATGAAATAATGGAAATGAATTTTGTAATTGAAGTGGTGGAATAGTTGAAGGAATAAAAGAAACGCCACGCTTGGTGTCTTTAACTTAATTGACTATTTCCTCAGAGTGATTGCTAATTTACTGAGTTCTTGGGCCCAGAAATGTACGATATCGATTAAAGTCATAAAGTGTGGATAAATGAATGGATTTTTAAATGAAAACGGGGACCAACTACTGCAATAAAAGTCATTTGTTTCGGCGGAATTCATTTAGAGATTAAATTTGTTGGCTGCTTCTGTTTAATTTTAATCAGATTTATGGGCACTCGTTGATTAATTTTACGATAATTAAGATATCAAGAAAATTTCGGTAATGAGCTGAGTTTGAAGGTGACTTTGGCGACCTTTGGGCTGGATTTTTATGCACTTTTACGTAGATTTGCAGTGAAAAATTGAATGCATGTATTATTAATGAAGTATCGCCACACCTGCCGCAATGACGCGATTTCGCTCAAAAACTGGAATATTTTTAAAAATTAATAGCGAAACGCTAGAAATGTCGAATACGCGACTTGTAAGTAATTGCTTTCATAAATAATGTATTAATTCGCCTTAATGCGTATTGAATTATGGCATTCGTACTCGGAACACCGGCCATTTTACAACATAATGAGCATCTCGCGTTACGTTTACTGTTAAAATTACAAGAACGCAGAGTTTTTTTTACGTAAATAAATCATTAGGTGTAATTTAGGAATTGAATTTCTATTGGGTCATCCGACTGCACAAATCGACCGAGTTGCTCTAATTTTTACTACTATTTTATTTAGTTACACAGTGTTTTTAGTGCTGTTTCACAATATTTGGACACACTGTATAATGATTCCATGTTACTGATAAAAATATTAAATTCAAAAACATATCAACTTCAAAGCTGTCTTTTGTGTGTATTGAACTTTAAAATTTTCACCTTGGTGTTTATTTTTTATTCTTCGACTTAATGTTACAAGTTTTTAAAAAGGATGAGCCTTGGAATATTACATAAATGAATAAATAATAACGCTTTCATTTATTGTTTGACACTAACCAAAAACACTTAAAAATGGTCCAAGTCTATTTAGACAGAACCTATTGCTGTGTAATATCGGGTGATTTTTCAAATTTCTGCTCTAGTTAGGCATGCCGGTTACGCCAGCCAACTAGAACAGGCATTTAAAAAGTCACACGGTTAATAATAACACTGTTTTCCACCATTTTTTGATTTGATCAATAAAATAAATTGCCTCATGTATGAACTGTTTTGGGTCACCGTGTAGATAGCTAGACAAAAAAGAAGCTATGCATATGTTTCAAGTGAGTTTTCCATAACGAAATGTTGTTATGACATCATTTATATTTTATTCGTCTCAAAAACAGATCAGGGCCCTATTCCACCAACATTTCTGAAAACTTTGCACTTTGCGCTTTTCACTTTTCAGAAATTGAAAAGTGCAAAGTGTTTTTGTTCCACCAAGACTTGAAAAGTACTTTGCGGAAAGTCGTTCAAAATTTAAAATTTGCAAAGTTTATTGGTTTAAAAAATACTAAAACAGACTCTATTCAAATAAAAAAAGCTCTAGCAAATAGTCAATTCTTTGGACATTACGGATCTGAAATCGTTTTCCCTAAAGGAAGTCAAATAATAGAGAATAATGAAAAAGGTATTGAAAAAATTTAAAACGCTCTCTATTAGAATAGAAAAGTATTACTAAATTATATAAGTTATACCCAAATTACGCATTTCAGTCTATTTTTACCCCAGATCTTCAAATAACTGAAAGAAATAGGGAAACATTTTCCAAAAATTTTCTAAAAAAAATTAAGGACTCTATATTAATCAAAAAGCAGTATGATGTGAGAAATTCTTTATAGATTACAAATTTGGACTTATTTTAGTGGTAGCTCTTTAAATATAAATAAACGAGTTAATAAACAGAAAACAGTGCAAAAAATTTCCAAAAAATTATTAAAACAGACTCTATTCAAATTGAAAAATGCTATAGCAAATAGTCAATTCTTTGAACATTTGATTTGAAATCGTTTTTCCTAAGTGAAGTCAATCAATAGAAAATAATGCAAAGAAAATCACTTCAAAACTTAATTGGGAAAAATTTAAAAGGATCTTTATTCGAATGGAAAAAAAAAATACTAAAATACATGTTTTACGCAGATTACGCATCTGAAGTTGTTTTTGCTAATGTTTTCAAATAACTGAAAGAAATAGGAAAACTTTTTCCAAAATTTTCTAAAAAAAAAATAAGAGGGGCTCTATATGCATGAAAAAGTACTATTGTGCAAAAATTTTGTACATTACGAATTTATGAATTTGAAGTTATTTTTACTGCAGCTCTTTGAATAAACGGGATGATAGACGCAGAAACAATTTACAAAAAATTTCACAAACATTTTAAAACAGATTCTATTTAAAATGAAAATAGCTCTAGCAAATAGTGAATTCTCAGGGCATTTCGCAACAGAAGTCGTTTTTCTTATAGTAAGTCAAATAATGAAAAGAAAATCACTTCAAAACGGTAATGGAAAAAATGTTAAAACAGTCTCTATTTGAATGAATTTGAATTAAAAGAAATAGGAAAACATTTTCCAAAAATTTTCTTAAAATTATTCATCAATTTGAAATTATTTTTACTGTAACTCTTGTTGCGTATGTCATGTTTCCTGTAATTGGGCCTCGGTGCTGTTGG